TATTCAAGCTATCAGAAAGTGCTCTGACAGCCATGCTGCTTTTTAGTTTTTGATCTCTCTGCGCCATCATACTATACCTAGTTGAACTGGTCTGACATGTGACATAAAAAGTAGTGGATCTCCTGGAGCATCCTCATCATCTTCTAAAGAAACTGATTTTTCACCTAGGAAGGAAAAAGTTTTTAGATGAAAAATAGGTATGGACTAAATTAGCTTAAATTAATTTAAGTGAAAATGTCCATACACAATGAGAAGATTATTGACTTTGTAATCTCCACACTTAATTTGTATTTAAATTAAATTTAAAATTCATTTGGCCTGTCCCCATAAGGGGACACAAGTTACAGGAGGCAAATCAAATTATTTTCTATCTTGCATATGAAGGCTGTTTGAAATGTATTTTTAAATTCTTGTAGAAACCAACTTGATTCTAGTGACTTGTATGCTTTTCTGACTCTCAGTATTTGGGGTGGACAGCACATTAAAAGTATAGTTTGAAAGTAGATAATAAAAATAAGAGACATACAAATAAAAGTGGATTTTGCACATGGATTCAGATAACCACAAATCCATTTATATAATAAAAAAAGAAATTCCAAGAAGAGTATTTAGAGAAGAGTATGAAGAAAACAAGAGTGTTCTGCAAAGAGTTCTGGAAATCTATGGAATTCATTAATGGCACAGGGAAAGTGGAAAAATACCGTGACTAGAGAATAGACATATTTGTAGCCGGCAGGATTCAGTCTAGCTTTTTACAGTACAGCATTCCTACATTTGTTTAAAAAGCAATATTACAGCAATTGCTATGTAAGTTTGGAAAGCGGCATATGTAAATCAGGTTCTGAATCAGCCTAATTTTCACAGAGGACAGACTTTTAAGTTGTTCTGTGGTAATATGCTATACTCAATGTACCATGTTGACAGGAGGTTTGAAATGTTGATTCACTGTACCGGGAGTGAGCTACTGTCAGCTCCAGCCAGGCAGGTCACACGATCAAAGCTACCTGTTCAAAGGTACTGCGATAGTTCGTCGCAAGGAACAGTAACGAGGTGCGGTTAGGATGCAACCTGGTATCCCTGACGTAGGTGAAACTGAAAACTGCGTTTGGATTAATTTGAAAACATTATCCTAAATCCTCCTGACTTTCAGCAAAGGCTCTGAATGACTCATAGATGCAGTGGCCTGATCTCTCGCTGCTCCCAGCTGTCCGCCTGGTTTCTCTGGCAGGAGCCGCTACCCCTGCGGCCGGGCTGGCGGAGGGAAAGGTGTGCTCATGCCTCCACCTCTAGCACCAGGGCTGGTGTTCTACCTGCTTAAGAGCTGCAAAGCAAACTACGGAAAGGGGAAATAAATTCTCCCTGGGAAGGCTGCTGAGTGTGTCATGGGTACTAGATGAGCAAGTTTAATTACATTGTAATATTAAAAAGAAACAATTTACTATTTTAAGTAAATAAGAACAGTTAACACAAAAAGATGTTAGAATATTTGATGGGGAAAAAAAGGCATCTGATGAGCAAAAAAGTTACTCAATAAGAGTATTGCACACTTATTAAAAAAAAAAAAGTATATAAAATACTTGTCAATGACATGTTTTTTGTTGAAGTCCAGACATGGAAAACTATGTATGAGGGGCATTTTCATGTCGGCATTTCTAAAGGATCTTTTTGTATTTCTAGTAGGTGTCTGAGTTTTGTACTTATGATAATATTGTTATTGCTGATGGATTTCTGCTCAGACTTGATAATTTTTCTGCATTTCCTGTGGTAAAGTGAAAGGCAAGGGAAGTGGCCAGTGCGTTAATATTTAAACATAAAGCGAGAAATATAAAAAAGCGTAAGTAACTTAACATGAATTACTAGGTGAGCTTTACTTTTGTAAATCATGTACTCGATTTATTAATACTTGATTTAACTTGAAACAATCAAAACTGGTTAAGAAAATGGGAAGGTCATTCATTTGAACTCTAATGGATGGGACCATTTTTCATAGCGCACCATCACTCTACTCGGATTTTCTTGGTTGTTGATTACTGGGGTAATACAAAACCTAAATTTTAAGAGGAGTGAACATGTTGAGTTGTATCTTTTTTAATGATTACTTATGCTACAACTCTATGTTTGCCTCTGAAAACATGTTTTTTGGGAGGACAACATGAACATCTCTGGCTTGCATTGCTGTACGTGCTTACGCAAAAAGTGTTGTCTTTCCATGAACGAGCTGGGAATTGGTGTGTGTGTTGCTACCAAGTTTGTCCTGAGACACCTCTCTCTTAGATTTGATTGTGATTTTCAGTATTAATTTCTTCAATTACACTCTCAAAAGAAAACTGATTTTACAAGTAATGAAGAAAAAACTCAGGGAAACATTATAGAAATACCATTCAGTCCCATAAAAGTAGTCTCTTCTTTCCTTCCTTCCCCTTCCTCCCCCCAGCAATCTCCCAGTAGTTGAGTTAATCAAGTAAACACAAGTCGTGCTTTGTAGCTTTACGTTAAGGATGGATATGAATATTTAGACTAATAAATTTAGAGGCTAAGCAGAATGGTAAAAATACAGTAATTTCTTTGGGAGCATGCCCTGTCCCTTTTTAAACAAAACAACTTAGTATAGCTACTAGGTTCTTAAAAGAAAGTAAGGCATGCACAGTGGACAGTATTATTTGGCACAGGTTTGAGTTTGTTGATAGCATTTTGTTCTTGCTACCCAAGTCACAAGCCTAGACATCCTTGGTTCCTCCAGCTCTGTCAAAATGAGGCTTCTCAGCCTCTTTTTAAAGAGGGGAGGGACCATTCCCCCCGCCTCCTGTAGGACTCTGGGGTTGAAAGGGAGAAGCCCCGGAGGTACTTTGGTCTGTTTGCCTCAGGGAGGATGATACCCACATTAGAGCAGCCCCTTCCTCCGGCAGGCCACGGGGGACCAGCCAGGCTCACCGCTGGGGCAGGGGCAGCGGGCTGCCTTCGCCTGGGCCGGGAATCGCATTTCCTTCTGTGGGAGCAACAGCGTCAGATCTGCCCCCACAAAAGAACTTGTGAGCATCAGCTGCAGAGCCACAGATGCCATTTGAGCCTTACAAGTGCCCTTCAAAGTACTGAGCTGGGCAGCCTCCCCTGAGCAGACATTGCAACTCCGGCTGCAGTCGGAAACGGACTGGGTCTCTATCCAGTACGGCGTTACTTGCTTGACTTGTATTCTTAAATGAAGAAAGCTGATGTTCTCACAGTGTTCTCTCTGCCCCTTGTTATGGATGTATGCATTCTGCATAGCTGCAGGACACATTTCTATCTTAGTATGTTTTCTTTGTGGCTGAATTATGGTGGTTGTGGGAATCTTTGCATTTAAATTCTTACCATTAGTGTTGCCTTATTACAGTTAGTTGCATTTAATTTCTGTTTATCCATAAAACTTGTTTGGTTTGTTTCTTTAAGGGAGTAATAGAAATGCTTGTGCATTTAAGAGATATATTTAATTATATCACCTTTAAAACCAGACTGTCCTAACTCTTCAAAATGAGGTGTGTCTTACCCAGGGGTAGTATTTTTTTTTTTTACATTCTAGTTTGGGATTCACAACTGAAATTAATCTTTTCTGATTTAAACTTGCTAGAGGTCTAAGGCAGATGAGAATTAGGATTAACAGTTGGTGCAAACTACATCAAAACAAAGAGGGTAATCTAAGGGCAGATCCTCAGATGAAGGACACTATCTTAGTTTATGTGGTCCTCAGAAGCGTAACTGCTTCTATTAGCCTCAGTTCTGCAAGTTTAAAAATAAAAATGGATTGCAATATACAATGCAGAGAGCACATGTTAAAGTATTATAAAATTGCCATTTTAATTTAACGTGACTTTGACAGATTACAGGTTTTCTGCTAGTGGTGACAAATTAAGGTCAAGCTTTTCGTTAAGGTAAACAATGACAAGAAAAATGACAATTTCTTTTCCTCAGATCTGTGAAACAGCCTTGTAGGGGGAGACGTGGAAGGGTACAAGGGCAAGCTAGATGTCCAGCTCTTTTCTGTGCCTTTGGCAATTTCCCCTGATACTAATGTTGATTTTTTTGTTTTCTTTAAGATTCACAATCTTAATTAATGTAGATTGCCACATACTGTGGGAACAAATGGCTAAGCTTTGCATTTCTCTTTTTAGCCGTCTTATTTTGGTACTTATAACTATTATTGGGGCTTATGCTTCAGTGACATTTAGGATGTGACAAGGAGATTTGAGTGATGTCAAATAGCAGATTGACCCTAATGAAATGTTAAGCACAGCTTAAATGCATATGTAGAGAGGGCTGAATAAAACAAGAGATGCAAATAATTTGGTAAAAACCCCTTCAGAATAAAAGCGGTTGTATTCCTTTGGTTTGCGTCAAAATAGTCTGATAAACATGATGATTTTTACTTTCCTCACTACATTACAATTTTTAATGAGAAGTTATTAAACATCCCTCTGTTTCTCAAATATTTAAGTTGAATGCTTACAAAATAATTTAATTTACCTTTAGTCGTCATACCTACATTTTCAGTTACAGAAAAATAAGAATAAAAATCCTAAATTTCACTTGTATCACAAATAACAAAATTTTAAAAATCATGACAGTTTCAACCTTTACTTTTATCTTTCTTTAGTTTACATCTGAATTGGAGCTCTACAAAACCTGCTTCCAAAGTACTGCAAACGAATGTCAAAGGGAAAGAAAACAGCTTTTCTTAATTTAACGTTTCAACCCGGTGCAGGAGCCTTGACACCAGTGAGCACTCACCAAGGCTGCAATACAAGCAGTTAGCATAATTTTGCTAGAATTACACTGTATTTACCGACTTCGACACTGGTGGGTGCTAACATTTTATTCCCCTGCGCGAGGAGCGCATCAAGTCAGTTCTAGCAGCGCTGTTGGGGCTGTGCAGCCTCCGCTTCGGCTCGAGCAAACTCAGCCTTCGGTTTTGTTCCCTTTGGTTTTTAAGCAAAGAGAGAGAAATAGAAGCAAAAACAGTTTTTTACCTTGCGTGCTCTCTGTTGTGGGGCTTGTGTTCAGCTGCTTCTCAGTCGCAGAACACCTGCCGTTTTCTTCTGCTGCTAATTGTGTGACAGGTTCATATCGCAATATGGCATCCAGATCATGGAAAAACTTCATGGTTTTAGTGACATCCCCAGAGTTGTGGGCATATTTAACCGTTCTGTATTCGTACTTCAGATTTTTGTACTTTGCACGGCACTGTTTCCAATCTCTGCAAACTCCTAACTCCTGCAACCGTTTAGCAATGTAGATAAATATTCCTTTATTCCTCAGGGTGCCGTGGAGTTGCTTTCTGATATTTTTTTCTGACCAGACGCTTAACAAGGCTTTAACCTCCTCCTCAGTCCAATGCTTCCCTGCTCCACTCTCCATGTTGAAAGTGACCTGGAAATGATTCACTATTTCTAGCCAAGATTTTGTTTCCTAGGAAACCAGACGGCTGGTTGTCAGTAAGCTCCGCCGAGATGAAAGGATCTAGTCTTACTGGCTCAAGCTGCCTGAGGGGAGTAACTTGAGAAACTGCCAAATAAGCAGGCTCGGTGTTAGAGGCAGGCGAATAAAGCCGCTCGGGCGGGAGCCGTGCTGGGGGGCGGTGGGCTCG